CAGGCCGAGCCCACGGAGCCGAGCGGCGCTTGAAGTGCTGCGATGGGAACTGAGCTGCATTGGACAATCCAGGATTCAAACTCACGTTCTCATCAACCGAAGTATGTATGTACAATATGCTGAACTTCTTTCGCACTGTACGTTGCTAACCACGCTAATCAGAGATGAGAGGGAAGGACAACAAACTAAACACAAAACGCAGCTTCTATAAAAATTAGTTTTCAATCTAGATTTAAAAGTGCATAGCTCCAGTGGCTTCCTAACATCGGAAGGAAGAGCGTTCCAGACGTCCGCAGAAGCGTGCTTGAAAGCGCGATACGGTAACCATCTTTGTTCGATGGCAAAGCAAAAGCAGCTGCGAAGATGACCGGAGTTCAAGTGATGGTGGTTTATGCTCCTTGAAGAGAACAGCGAGATATTGTGGTTCATTTGTGACAAGAACTTTGTGTGCAACGAGTGCGACCTTAAAATGTATTCGTTCGGCATACGGGAGCCAATGCAGCTCAGCGAGCACTCAACGGACATGGTCGGATCTTGCAGTACCCATCACGATACTTGTATGTATGTTGAACCTCTACCGCACGGTACGTAGCCAACCGTGCTCATCTGAAGTGCGGAAGCCTGCCGCTCTACCAAGCTGTACTTCCTGGCTGGTGCTGAACAATGCGGGGCCTACAGAGCCTCTGTCTCAGTTGCCACTGGCGGAGAGAGGACCTGCACACTAAAGGGCCAAAGTGATTCACGAGATACTTTTTGGATCGGCCATGCAATGATCTGGCCGAATTTATGTCAAAAGACCCTCCCCCCCCACCACCCAACACAGTCTAAAAATGTAATTGATCATGGTGACAAGCATCTGAAACTGTCCTCGTTTCAGCCTCACCGGCGAGTTGAATAATAACTTCTCAAAGCCACGCGTTAAGGACCGAGTGGTTTGTTCATATTTGCTTTGGTTACAATTGCTGCAAATATCTGGGTCTCTTCTTGAATTACATTACGCTTAATGATGTTACCACACCATTGATTTGTATTGTGCCTGACAGTGTATGTCTGAAATCAATATTCAGAGGAAATAAGAAGCATGAGGCAAGAAGCAGCCAGAGAGATTTATCCCGATGGTTTATCCCAATTTCCGCTAAAAATACTCGGCTAAGACAGAGTTCTTGGGAACAGGAAATTGACATTTAATTCGAATTAATGACCAATTCCCCTTCGCTGTGTGAGCCGATCTAGTGCGAGAGATCACACTGCGAAGATTTACCAGGGGGAATTTGTTTTCTCTCCAAGTGAGGCTATCCATCAACAGCGAGCGCCGAGGGCGATCGAGTGACTGAAGACTGAAAATGAGAACCAATGCAAATTCAAAACAATGTAGTTGTGCCCGGGGTCGGTCACTGATATCCGCTCCTGAATGTTTTACTTCACCGTGAACGTTCTCACACATCAATGTACACACAGTCCCTCTCACCTTGTGTGCTCGGTATGCATGCGTGCACGTTGAACTTATTTCGCACCGTACGTAGCCAACCGTGCTAATCGGAGGTGTGGGGTAATGACAACAACACTAAACACAAAACTAGTTAGAAAGAAATTAGTTTTCAATCGAGGTGATTTAAAAGTGCAGAGCTTCCAGTGGCTTCCTAATATCCGAAGAGCGTTCCAGACAGCCGCGGAAGTGCATCTGAAAGCGTGCGATGTGGCGACCACCGTCTTAGTTCGATGGCCGCTCAAAAGTCAATGCGAGGCATGAAAGGTGAGGGAAAAGATCTCCATTACGCTTTAAAGAGTGTCAAGGAAAGCGGCGTTAGCGAGCACCTCTTTGGACAGCGAAGGGGCAGTGGGGACAGCATCATAAACAGCGTGGATACTCATGACCACACCCACACCGGCCACCCGTTTAGGGCTGAGCGGACCTATGAGAAGCGCAAAGGGTCGCTGGCCAAGATTAATAACAGAGCGGCAGCCAATGAACGGACCGCATTCGAGACGACGTCGACCGGGGAGATGGAGCGATGAGGTGGGCGCCTGGGTTGCGGACGCTGGGTGGATCGTTACGTCGTGGGATCGAGGGAGGTGGCGACGGTGGCTCGGGGAGGGAGGCCTTGACCCACCAGTGGATTGAAACTAAAACGAAACTATTTTTTATTTCACCAGGTACGGTCCACTGAGCTCTTTTTCAGAAACGACCTGGCTATTACAAATGATAGCTCAACCACGTGGTTTATCACGTGGAAATATAGTGCTGTAGCTAAACACTCTGAATGCACGTGACCATGGGGAGAGACAGACACACAAACTCCAAATATACAGCAAGCGTCACAGTCGGGAACGAATCCACGACCTCCTGCATACGTGGCGAGGTAGTTAACATCTCGCCACCGTAGTGAAGTATAGAATAACTACCTCCATGGCCTACACTGAATGGGGAGGCCTTCATCCAGCAGTGGATTGATAAAGGAATTTAAATTATTAACAGCTTTTTGATTTAAAGCTTTCGTGACTGCAGGGATTCATATTCTTGGTTCTTTCGAAGGGAAACAATAAAATAATAAAAATATAAAACAATTAAATTCTCACGACGTTTCAACTGCAACACAAGCAATCATCATCAGGTGTGATGATGATGATCAGGTGTGATGATGATGATTGCTTGTGTTGCAGTCGAAACGTCGTGAGAATTTTATTGTTTTATATTTTTCTTATTTTATTGTTTCCCTTCTACGTGACTTTACCGAAAGAACCAAGAATATTATTAACAGCTGTTAACAGTGGCTAAACCGTATTCAGCAGAAAATAGAATGCCTGAACAAACGCATGTTTCATGGACACATTGATTAGGACTGTTCATATTTACACCACTTGCAAATGGAATAAGGGCAAAAAAGAGATTGCGATATTCAGAACCTTTGACATAATGTACATTTTGGTGAGTTTATTGCAAAGGAACTTATTTTCAATGTGCAAAACATAAGCAACACAGGTGGTGGCCAAGATTAACCTGATTACAGTGAGGGAAAAAGTATTTGATCCCCTGCTGATTTTGTACGTTTGCTCACTGACAAAGAAATGACCAGTCTATAATTTTAATGGTAGGTTTATTTGAACAGTGAGAGACAGAATAACAACAAAAAAATCCAGAAAAACGCATATCAATAATGTTATAAATTGATTTGCATTTTAATGAGGGAAATAAGTATTTGACCCCTCTGCAAAACATGACATAGTACTTGGTGGCAAAACCCTTATTGGCAATCACAGAGGTCAGACGTGTCTTGTAGTTAGCCACCAGGTTTGCACACATCTCAGGAGGGATTTTGTCCCACTCCTCTTTGCAGATCTTCTCCAAGTCATTAAGGTTTCGAGGCTGACGTTTGGCAACTCGAACTTTCTGCTCCCTCCACAGATTTTCTATGGGATTAAGGTCTGGAGACTGGCTAGGCCACTCCAGGACCTTAATGTGCTTCTTCTTGAGCCACTCCTTTGTTGCCTTGGCCGTGTGTTTTGGGTCATTGTCATGCTGGAATACCCATCCACGACCTATTTTCAATTCCCTGGCTGAGGGAAGGAGGTTCTCACCCAAGATTTGACGGTACATGGCCCCGTCCATCATCACTTTGATGCGGTGAAGTTGTCCTGTCCCCTTATCAGAAAAACAACCCCAAAGCATGTTTCCACCTCCATGTTTGACGGTGGGGATGGTGTTCTTGGGGTCATAGGCAGCATTCCTCCTCCTTCAAACACGGCGAGTTGAGTTGATGCCAAAGAGCTCCATTTTGGTCTCATCTGACTACAACGCTTTCACCCAGTTGTCCTCTGAATCATTCAGATGTTCATGGGGAAACTTCAGACAGGCATGTATATGTGCTTTCTTGAGCAGGGGGACCTTGCGGGCGCTGCAGGATTTCAGTCCTTCACGGCATAGTGTGTTACCAATTGTTTTCTTGGTGACTATGGTCCCAGCTGCCTTGAGATCATTGACAAGATCCTCCCGTGTAGTTCTGGGCTGATTCCTCACCGTTCTCATGATCATTGCAACTCCACGAGGTGAGATCTTGCATGGAGCCCCAGGCCGAGGGAGATTGACAGTTCGTTTGTGTTTTTTCCATTTGCGAATAATCGCACCAACTGTTGTCACCTTATTCTTAGCTCTTTCGGTAAAGTCACGTTGAAGGGAAACAATAAAATAATAAAATATATAAAACAATACAAAAATAAAAATTCTCACGACATTTCAACCATAACACAAATGGTCGTGAGAATTTTTATTGTTTTATATATATTGTATTATTTTATTGTTTCCCTTCAACGTGACTTTACCGAAAGAGCTAAGAATATGAATTACTGCAGTCACGAAAACTTTAAATCAAAATGTTGTCACCTTCTCACCAAGCTGCTTGGCAATGGTCTTGTAGCCCATTCCAGCCTTGTGTAGGGCTACAATCTTGTCCCTGACATCCTTGGAGAGCTCTTTGGTCTTGGCCATGGTGGAGAGTTTGTAATCTGATTGATTGATTGCTTCTGTGGACAGGTGTCTTTTATACAGGTAACAAGCAGAGATTAGGAGCACTCCCTTTAAGAGTGTGCTCCTAATCTCAGCTCGTTACCTGTATAAAAGACACCTGGGAGCCAGAAATCTTTCTGATTGAGGGGGGGTCAAATACTTATTTCCCTCATTAAAATGCAAATCAATTTATAACATTTTTAACATGCGTTTTTCTGGATTTTGTTGTTGTTATTCTGTCTCTCACTGTTCAAATAAACCTACCATTAAAATTATAGACTGATCATTTCTTTGTCAGTGGGCGAATGTACAAAATCAGCAGGGGATCAAATACTTTTTTCCCTCACTGTATATCACTTCACTCTTTCCCCTGGACTCTGTGACTATGAGCGGTTGTCACATCTCGGGGTTATTGCTCAGAGGCGCTCTGTGTGCGGGCATCTCAGCTAGCCACCATGGTTGATGGACAACGCCATGAGGCGGTCCGGGAGGGCCTCACCTGCTGTCGCCGGCATTGGCCACGTAGAGCTTTCCCAGCATGAACATCACGGTGAGCGCCGTGCAGCCGCCCGGCACGTGGGACTTGGCCTTCTCTCGCTCGATCTGCACGTCCTGCACACAAACAACACGCAGCCCCACCGTGTAGCCTCAGCGCACAGCGAGTGCTGTTAGCGAGTAGCGCCTACGAAGGCCCGACACGGCACACGAGTGGGTGGGTGGCCAGAACCATGCCTTTGTTTCGCCGGTGGCGATGTTTACGTACTGCACAAGGTACTCATTTGAGGCCGAGTCGACCTAGGGCAGGCCCAGGGCCGGTTCAGATAATCGTCACTGGTATCGAACAGGAATGGAACAGGAATCGAACTCGGGTCGCCAGGTACATAGCGCAGAGTGCTAACCACTACACGACCGCTCCTTGCAGATACCCACGCACGCACAGACACATATGTACCCCAGCACTGACACCACACCTTATTTCAAGCAAGCATAGGATGGTACTCATTCATCAGTAGCTCTGAAAAAGCAATCATCCACATTCCTATGGCAAAGGCTTTTGCCAAAGGAAGTTTGTTCTCCTTCCCCCGCACCTCCGATTAGAAAAGTTGGCTACGTGCGGTGCGAACGAATTCAACATACACACATACAGAGGCCAGTTTATCCAAAGTCAACTGCAGACATTCCACAAAACGGTATTCATATTATTGACCCAGAGCGATGGGCTGAGTGACCACCAATTTAAACATTGTGCAAAGTTAAACTATAAAGTACACAAATGCCTGCAACCCAGCACTGTGGAGGTGCCAAGGGTTGGTGGATCACACAAACGTTGGTAAACTCCCTTCCTGTGGGCATCGAGACGTCATACCCTGGCTTGCCAGGACAAGGCGGTACACAAATGTGGACTAATCTCCATCTGTTCCGACTCTCTACGGATTGCGTTGCCCACTCCATGTCTGGGTTTTCTCCGGGTGCTCTGGCTTCCGACCACAATAATTGGCTGAAAACATCCTAATTTAGCTGCACCTCCACGTGCTGCAGTTTGTTCAGTTTAATAAGATTTCGTTTTTCACGAATGACGCTAGGTCGGTTTTGTGTAAATGTCTCAGAATGCACAGATGTTTGACGTATCTACTTCTCAACCAAGTGATTTATCTATCTTCAAGACAGCTGACATTTCCAGGTTCTTGCGTCACATAAAAGCCACAAATGGCATGGCGATTTGAGTGACAAATTCCATTTGGAATATTCTAAGACTGTGGACCTGGTTTGTTTGGGCGTCTGCCCCTGTTGGTACACTTTGAATGTGGGATCTGTGCCATGGGCCGGAGAGTCGAACAGGCAGGAAAGCATCGAGCAGGGTGAGCGATGCTGCTGCAGGCAAGCTCAACCCCAGCCACGGCTGTAAGTTTTATATGACCAATAATTTGTCTTCAATGTCAATCAGAATGATCTAAAACTTCAGTAACATAACATAATGGGGTAACATGGTGGCTAGGAGATGTTAACTACCTCGCCTGGTATACAGGAGGTTGTGGGTTTGATCCCGACCCTGAAGCCTGCTGTATATTTGGAGTTTGTTCTCCCCGTGGCCGCGTGGATTTTTCTCCGGCTCCTGCGCGTTTTCCCTCCACGTTTAGAAACACACATTTTAGAGTATTTGGCTGCTCTAAATTCCCACAGGGTAAGCCTCGTCGCTGAGCTGTCACTCGTGAGAGCCAGGTCGCTTCTGAAAAATTCCGAAAGAGCTCGGCGAGCCTTACCTGGTAAGACAAAGTCAAAAGTGTAATCGTTTTAATAAAACAAGAGCCACATAACCATTCCGTGGGCAGCAGAGAGAGCGAGAGAGACGGGTGTCTACACATAGCGCGAGTGCAGGGAATGAAGCCACCGCGGCCCATGACACAATACCTGTAGCCGCAGCAGTATTTCTGCGGCCCTCACAGTAATCCATCTTTGCCTGGCGTCCCAGCCCCTGAGAGCCCCCCACACAGCCCCACCGCAGCGCATTGTTATTCCTGCGCCCCCCCCTCCTCCCCGGTCAACTCCGTGAGGCCTCTTGAATCATGTACAACGCTCCGTGATGAGAAGGCCGTGCGTGTTTTTAATGCACCGCACCGTGGTGTAGTTAATAATGTGATGCTCAGCTGAAGACAAGAAAATGACGCTTGTGTGTTTTGCAATTGAATTGCAGTGATGCAATAATAATAATCGGCCGAGTTTATCACTAATTCTAAATTCGATTACAAGACAGTGGAACTTTTATTATCCGTGTTGATATTCGATGTCCGACACTTACGCTGGCTAAGTGGATATTTTTTAAAATATGTATTATATTTGACATTACTCGTGCCATTGAATTGTGATTCATAGAAAGATTGATCGACAGATTGACTTTAGCACAATAATTATTGTATACATATGTCATGAGTGTCTACGATAAGATCACCATAACTCGTCAGACTGAGTCTTCCCAATGAGCACTCAGATACATCTCCCCACTGGAGCAAGTCCACCAATGAGGACTCAGATACATCTCCCCACTGGAGCAAGTCCACCAATGAGGACTCGGATACATCTCCTCACTGGAGCAGGTCTCCCAAGAAGCACTCAGATACATCTCCCCACTGCAGCAAGTCTCCCAATGAGGACTCAGATACATCTCCCCACTGGAGCAAGTCCACCAATGAGGACTCAGATACATCTCCCCACTGGAGCAAGTCTCCCAATGAGCACTCAGATACATCTCCCCACTGGAGCAAGTCTCCCAATGAGGACTCAGATACATCTCCTCACTGGAGCAAGTCTCCCAATGAGCACTCAGATACATCTCCTCACTGGAGCAAGTCTCCCAATGAGGACTCAGATACATCTCCTCACTGGAGCAAGTCTCCCAATGAGAACTCAGATACATCTCCCCACTGGAGCAAGTCTCCCAATGAGGACTTAGATACATCTCCTCACTGGAGCAAGTCTCTCAATGAGGACTCAGATACATCTCCACACTGGAGCAAGTCTCCCAGTGAGGACTCAAATACATCTCCCCACTGGAGCAAGTCTCCCAAGAAGCACTCAGATACATCTCCCCACTGGAGCAAGTCTCCCAGTGAGAACTCAGATACATCTCCTCACTGGAGCAAGTCTCCCAGTGAGGACTCAGATACATCTCCACACTGGAGCAAGTCTCCCAATGAGAACTCAGATACATCTCCTCACTGCAGCAAGTCTCCCAATGAGGACTCAGATACATCTCCTCACTGCAGCAAGTCTCCCAATGAGGACTCAGATACATCTCCCCACTGGAGCAAGTCTCCCAGTGAGGACGCAGATACATCTCCTCACTTGAGCAAGTCTCCCAATGAGGACTCAGATACATCTCCTCACTGGAGCAAGTCTCCCAATGAGAACTCAGATACATCTCCTCACTGGAGCAAGTCTCCCAAGAAGCACTTAGATACATCTCCTCACTGCAGCAAGTCTCCCAATGAGGACTCAGATACATCTCCACACTGGAGCAAGTCTCCCAAGAAGCACTCAGATGCATCTCCTCACTGCAGCAAGTCTCCCAATGAGGACTCAGATACATCTCCACACTGGAGCAAGTCTCCCAGTGAGGACTCAGATACATCTCCTCACTGGAGAAAGTCTCCCAATGAGAACTCAGATACATCTCCCCACTGGAGCAAGTCTCCCAAGAAGCACTTAGATACATCTCCACACTGGAGCAAGTCTCCCAATGAGGACTCAGATACATCTCCTCACTGGAGCAAGTCTCCCAATGAGAACTCAGATACATCTCCCCACTGGAGCAAGTCTCCCAATGAGGACTTAGATACATCTCCCCACTGGAGCAAGTCTCCCAGTGAGAACTCAGATACATCTCCTCACTGGAGCAAGTCTCCCAGTGAGGACTCAGATACATCTCCACACTGGAGCAAGTCTCCCAATGAGAACTCAGATACATCTCCTCACTGCAGCAAGTCTCCCAATGAGGACTCAGATACATCTCCTCACTGGAGCAAGTATCCCAATGAGGACTCAGATACATCTCCTCACTGGAGCAAGTCTCCCAGTGAGGACTCAGATACATCTCCTCACTGGAGCAAGTATCCCAATGAGGACTCAGATACATCTCCTCACTGGAGCAAGTGTCCCAGTGAGGACTCAGATACATCTCCTCACTGGAGCAAGTCTCCCAATGAGAACTCAGATACATCTCCTCACTGGAGCAAGTCTCCCAATGAGAACTCAGATACATCTCCTCACTGGAGCAAGTCTCCCAAGAAGCACTTAGATACATCTCCTCACTGCAGCAAGTCTCCCAATGAGGACTCAGATACATCTCCACACTGGAGCAAGTCTCCCAAGAAGCACTCAGATACATCTCCTCACTGCAGCAAGTCTCCCAATGAGGACTCAGATACATCTCCACACTGGAGCAAGTCTCCCAGTGAGGACTCAGATACATCTCCTCACTGGAGCAAGTCTCCCAATGAGAACTCAAATACATCTCCCCACTGGAGCAAGTCTCCCAAGAAGCACTTAGATACATCTCCACACTGGAGCAAGTCTCCCAATGAGGACTCAGATACATCTCCTCACTGGAGCAAGTCTCCCAAGAAGCACTCAGATACATCTCCTCACTGCAGCAAGTCTCCCAATGAGAACTCAGATACATCTCCTCACTGCAGCAAGTCTCCCAAGAAGCACTCAGATACATCTCCTCAGTGGAGCAAGTCTCCCAGTGAGGACTCAGATACATCTCCCCACTGGAGCAAGTCTCCCAGTGAGCACTCAGATACATCTCCCCACTGGAGCAAGTTTCTCAATGAGGACTCAGATACATCTCCTCACTGGAGCAAGTCTCCCAGTGAGGACTCAGATACATCTCCTTAGTGGAGCAATTCTCCCAAGGAGTGCTCAGTTATGTCTCCTGTCCAGTGGAGGCACTGCCCCAAGCAGCAGGTGCCAAGCAAGGCACTGCAGGGCTTCGCCTTTACAATTACTCACAAACCTCAAGGATAGCCAAAAAATTCTACACCTGTCAGTGAAGGGCACATTTTGCACACCGCATTGCTAATGATGAAGGCGTTGTAATCAGGGCAGGGAAAACA